GTCTTCATACCAGATCTTGTATTGGTAGAAATATTGTTGATATTTAGAAAGAATCGGATGTTAATTTCTCATTTTATAAGAGTTATAATTGTTTCCTATGTTGACCCATTTGTGGGGGAGGTCCATGATGGAGTTGACCCATATTGATCAGTTTCGCACCTGACATAGCACCGATACAAAAATTGAGATTTGCAAAATTTGCATAAAATTGGATGATAATTTCTTGTTCTATACGATAAATTATTTTCTGTGAAAATGTTGAGCTCTTGCCAGAAGGAGTGGACAGATATTGACCATCTCTGAACTCGATTTAAATTTGACAATAATATAAGGATGTTCCATGTTTAGATCATAGCAGATACTCCCTTCGTTAGTTATAGTGCGCTCCAGCCAGACAGGCAAAGAGACGGATGGCGGACAAACTTAGGTCGACTCTAAACATCTTGAAACGGTTTTGGATCCAAAAATCTCAAGGGTCTAAAAACGTTATTTCGGCGAGCCATCTATTTTAGCCATCTGTAGTCCTATGGCTGAGGGTATAAAAAGGATTTTCGAAAGATATTAAGAAGATGTTATACCCTACCTCCAATTTGTCATTCCGTTTTTTAACTCCTCGAAATACTTATGTCAGACCCAACAATCTATGTATATTCTTAATCAGCATAAAGATCTAATTCCGCCTGGCTGTTGTTATCGAGCGAATTGAGATACAAAGCTAAAGCAAACGTGTGTATTTTCCTAGTAGGCAGGTAAATGAACCATGTCGGTCCACATTTTCGTATAGACCCCATATAACGGTATTTTCCAATATTCGGTATTTTGATTATTTTACCGACATTGTCAATCGGAATTATTTCAAATGTCGTATTTGAAGATCCTAATGGATACTATAACCTATGACAAAATCCTGCTAATACATTTCCACGTCCTCGTATAGCCCCGTTATAACTATACCTGTCGATATTCGATATTTTAGGTATTTTAGCGGTGTTATTCACCGGAATTGTTTCAAATTTCGCATTTGAAGTTCGTAATGGATATTACAACTTAAGAAGGACGGTTTTCATTTAAACCATCATTTTTGACAAATTTTTAAGTTTTTCAAGTTTCTTCAAAATGCTTGGAAGGGACTTTTTTACTTATTTTTTCTATAGCCTTTTCAAAAAAGAAAAGAAATTGTATTTTTATGGACCCTTTTCTGAGTGCATTCAACTTCCTTCTTGATATTGAAAAACGTATGAAGGAAGTTTTTTTCCTGGCGAAGATCTCATAGAAGTCAGTTTTCTATAAAAGACATTTTGAAAGGGATATTGCCCATTTGAAACGTATTTTGTTTATAAAAGATCTCTTGATATGGGTTATGTCCATGGATGGGTTATAAAAAGCTTTTAGTGAAAAGAAGACCATTTGATTATGGGAATATTCTATCTGTAGAAGATTCTGTAACAGAGCTCTATTGTATAGAAAACTTCTGGAATGAATTAAATGATTTTTATATGTGTATAGAAATATATTTGAAAGGTCTTCTTCCAAGATCTATTAAAAGATTTTTTGTCCTCAGAAGAATTTTTTTACTAAGAATAATTTGAAATGCCTTTTGCCTGCAGGATCTTGTAGTAAATTACGGTTTTAATAACATTTTAAATATATCTCTTTCAAATTAAACGGTATTCTACATTTAAAAAGCTCCTTGAATAGCATTTACGGAAATTGTTCTATCAATAAATGTCCAATAGAAGATAAAACTTATTTTACTTCAAAATTCATATATTACTCACAATCCATAGGTTCTCATGTTGTTTTCCAACCATTATTTTCCTCCAAACATTATTTTCCACTTCCAGCAATTTTCGGAAAATTTTCTGAGTTGAGATAAAACTCCTGTACCTATCTGTGTAGACTTAACAAAAGTGTGTCACAAAAAAACGTCTGTTAAGCTAATGTATCTTTTGTAGTGGTTGCCAAAATCAAAATGTTCCAAAAAGGAAAAACCACAGCTAAACGATGCAGTGCATAAAGCGGAAAAATGTTTTGGCTTTCTTTTGTTAATCTGTTTCTTCATCTTTTTGTGTGTGGGCGTGTGGATTAGTGCATTGGAAGAGGCTTTGTTATCTCTCAAAAGGATAGTGTGCTCGGGTGTTGGGTTTGTATTTCTATTTAAATATTCACATTTTCGCAACGGCTTTGTTGCTCATTTTTCTCCCACACACACACAGACACAAACATAATCATAAGTGACTACAAAACGGAAGTAAATATGAAAATAGGAATATATTATGATACAGTTTTCTCACTCCTCTATTGCCTTAATCTTTTGTTGGGTATGGGTTTTAAAAAAATCTGAAGGGGATTATTTTTCACAAAACTGCAATGGTTTCGATGGAAAAAATTTGGAGGAGAAAATTTCCCCTATCCAGGAGGTCAACTCAAAAGTGAATATAAAGGTCAATTACAGGATTTGATGTGTTTTACAAATGTGTTTTTGAAGGGTTGCATTAAGAAGTCATACATACAGGGTGAGATAAAAAATGCAACAAAAGCGCCATAATTTCTACATTTTTTTTAATTTTTATTGAATGAAAGCAAAAAAATCGGAAATAGCATCAATTTTTAGAATAAGTTTAGATATGTTCGAATTGGTCACCTTTGGCACGAATTATGGCCTTCAAATGGCCAATGAAACCGTCACACGCTGCACGAATGTTGCTCTGCGGTATTTTGGCCCATTCCCGGCGAAGCGCTTGCTTGAGGTGATCGTTACTTTGGTATTTTTTAGTGCCAACCTTCCCAAAATACTCCCGACACAATAGTCCAACGGATTGGTATTCGAAGATTTTGGTGGCCATTGTGCGCTGGATATAATGCAAGGTACCTCATTTTGTAACCATTCTTGGGTGACACGTGCTGAGTACGATTGTGCTGAGTACTGTTGGAATGTCCAAGGTCTGTGGCCAACATGTTTGCATGCCCAAGGCTTTAATACACCCTCCAGAATATTTTCGCGATAATATTCGGCATTTATTCTATTTTCTTTTTATTCAATTAATACGAGCGGAGAGCGACCATCGGCTGTTATGGCGGCCCACACCATCACCATAGCCGGCGCTGGAGTTCTGGTGGCCAACCGATGGTACACATTTTTAACTAACCTCTTTGGCAAGTAAACACGAACATTTTGTTTGTTTACAAACTGCTGGACAACGAATATTTTCTCATCGGAGAAGATCATATTCGGCAGTTCACCACTTTTGGCCAAGCGAATCAACGCTTTAGCTCTTTTGGGTCTATTTTCTTTCCGTTCTGGTGTAAGTTCTTGCACTTTTTGGAATTTCAATGGCTTTACCCCGAGCTCATTTTTCAATATTTGCGAATGGAATATTGCGATATGTTCAGCTCACAGCCATTTTTCGGCCATTGGGACGCGGGCTTCGATCAAGTCGCTTCTTTACTTTTCGAACCATTTCTGCTGATGTTGTGTTTTCTTGCGTCCACTTCCTTGACGTCGGGCTACGCTACCAGTATCACGGTACCGTAAAGAGTGATCGTACGAGATACAAAAGATTTATTCACATTTAAATGCTAGAGTGCTCTAACAATAGCCACTTGTGGTTTTCCAGTCGAATATATGGGGATCACACTATCACGCTTGAATTCCATCACGAATAACTTTTTTTTCTGGAAAATTCTCACCAAAATGCTTTCGTACGCTTGTTAACAATACAACGAGCTGTCACTGGAATAATTTCAACAGTTGTCGGACGAATGACTTAGAAACGACAGCAGTCTGAAGTTGGTTGCAGTTTTTTTCATCTCACCCTAGAGATCGGAATATCTTTAGCATTCGTTTGCATATTCTTACCCTCCAATTCACTCTCTTGATTACAGGACTTGAAGAATGTAATTTTGGAGGTTTAAAATTAAAGGTCTAAGCCAGATCCAAGTCTCCTTTATTGAGTTCAGAATACCATTAGGGCTCTCTCTCTCTCTCCTTCTTACTCTCCAATTCACTCTCTTAAAAAAGCAAATGCCTTGAGCAACTACAGGACTTGAACAATGTAATTATGAAGGTTTATAATTAAAGGTCTAAGCCAGATCCAAGTCACCATTATTCAGTTCAGAATGCCATCGGAGTTTTCTCTCTCTCCCTCGTTCTGTGTTCCTAATAAAGAAATTATCTAATAGGTTTGAGGGTTATACACCACAAATAGTAACAACCAAAGCAAATAGAACAGTAGATGGCCAAAAAATCCGCATTATAGATTGGCCACAGCAACTGCCACAGATACTAATACGCAGAGAAATTTACACCCACACAAGCATCGACACTAAGTACCAACATCCTGTTATATTCTCAAACGCACACATTCATGGCATCCATATCAAGGCAACATTATAACTAAACTGGCAACATAACTATGGATAATTTGGCAGAGAAGTCGAGGCGGCCAACAATTTGAGGGTGTTGTTGAAAGTTTCCTTTAACCAAATTTTCCTGGGCATTGTGTTTGTTAGAAGAAACCCAACAACCATAAACACCATTAGCTCTCCCCTTAAATGGTCGAGAAGCAAATGCAAGAACAACATTGCCATCATCTCGCCAATATTACTAACCAAGAAGAACAAACAACAAAAAAATTATTGAAATTATCTTGGCCAAAAAATTGCAAAATCCAACAACTGGCACAACAGAACATGACCAGCAACAATGCCATAAATATGCATTACGTAATGGAGCTATGGGGTGTCCGGATGGCTTTCAATCCATCTATTGCTTTTAGAAGGTCCTTTCACCCAGCCACCCACAAAAAAAAAGTTGTTGCTCTGTATTTGTTGTCCATAGATTGGCTAACTGGCTGCCTGGCTTTATGCCCATTAAAATGTTATGCTAATAAAGCTCCCTCTCCCCTTCACCCCCCCCCCCAACAAAACAAAAATCTCTCTAATCGAAAGCCCACAACTAATATGTACTTTTTTCTCTCCTCTCTTATCTTTTTCTGCAGTACAACTACTTAATGGAGTTTGATTATCTACCAAAGTCAGACTTTGAAACGGGAGCTTTAAGGACTGAAGAACAATTCAAGGAAGCGATTAAAAATTTACAGGTAAGAAAGTTCGGTTTTTATCCTCTGTTTGGTTAGATAAGCAAATCATCAAAATTTTTTTTCGTGTTGCTGTTATTTTTTCTTTAGCGTTTTGGCAATATTCCAGTGACCGGTCAACTCGATAACGAAACCAAAAAGCTCATCAAACGACCACGTTGCGGTGTCGGCGATAGTAAGCAGACGTTATCATTTTCACCGGACAACTTGCATCATGGACGTATGAAGCGGTATGTGCTGCAGGGACCCAAATGGGATAAAACTGATTTAACATGGAGGTAAGTGTTGGTTTTTTAATATTTTTGAAATACTTGAAAAAGAGGAGCATAAGCTATGTCTAGAGAAAGACAGAAGACGAGTTGTCTATAGAGAGTTGTCAGAAGAGAAAGTATTTCGCTCTTAAAAAATAAGTTTTATCAACTGTTTTCTCTTAATTTAGAATCTAAATCAGAGCTGTTCAAGAGATAGAGCTCTCTCGCCAGTCTAATTAGTTTTTCTTCACAAATGAGTGTTTAAACATTATTTATTCATTTTTTGTATCAATAGTCTTTATAAATAATCCTGGACAACATTCATGTTAAATAGCGATTTAAATGAAAAGCTAATTCAAAAAAAAAAAAATGTTTTCAGTGTGGCTTGTTTCTTCGGGATACCGTAGTATTTTGTTGCTGCAAAATGGTCAGGCTTATCCCTTTATTGTTGTTTTTATAAAAACAACGTTTGTTTATTAGTGGAGAACGATGGTAATGTTTACCAGGGGGTAAGGCAGGGAATACCTAGGTTTCGGAAAGAGCCACCAATCCTCATCAGTTCCCTTGTTTTTGTCTGGGATATTCTCCCCAGAAGTTATTTTAAAAATAACTTCTATGACAAAAAACATTTTTTACCCAAGTGACGAGATCGTAAGCTCAATAGAAGAGGAACCAAAGAATTATATAAAACTAAAATTCTTTTGGAAAGTCTTCTAAATCTTACAACCGCACTTATAAACATTTTCATCTTTCTCCACTTGTTATGCTTTCGTTCAACCTGAACGAAGTAGCATAACCATGTAAGTTGGTTTTGTCTGTTACAACAAAAACCCCTTCGTCGACCGTGCCTTGTCTATCAATAGAACAGTGTGGCTTGTTTCTTCGGGATACCGTAGTATTTTGTTGCTGCAAAATGGTCAAGCTTATCCCTTTATTGTTGTTTTTATATTGAGCTTACGATCTCGTCACTTGGGTAAAAAATGTTTTTTGTCATAGAAGTTATTTTTAAAATAACTTCTGGGGAGAATATCCCAGACAAAAACAAGGCACGGTCGACGAAGGGGTTTTTGTTGTAACAGACAAAACCAACTTACATGGTTATGCTACTTCGTTCAGGTTGAAATGATTTTTAAAATGATTTTTAAAGTAAGTAAACCTTCCACAAGAGTATTCTAAACACTTAAGCTGTAGAAGTGATACGAGAAAAGGCCCGTATAAAAGCCTTTTTAAAGTATGTTGTTTATAAAAAATCTTCCAAAAGCAGAAAATCTTTTAGAAGTCCTAATTTTATATTTATGTTTTTATGCATCGAAGATCTCCAATAGAACTGGAAGGTCATTTGTGTTGCAAAAGCCTTGAATAATATTTATTTATAAGGAATATATATTAAAAGACCTTTTGTTTACAGAAACTCTTAAAAATTTTATTTTGTCCTTCAAAGGCCCTCTAAAAAAGCCTTTTGTTATTTCAAAAACGTTTACCAGATATTTTGCCCCTTCTTTTGAAAACACCTCCTTTTGAAGGTCTATTTTATGTCATTTTATAAAAAGATTTTTTTTAAGGTCTATTGTTTTTGAGCTTTAGAAGCCTTTAATGAAAATAATGTCATTTAAATAGAATAGAATAGAACGATCTTCATTCCAGAAAACAACTTTTGGGGGCCTTATTTTTTATAAAAACTTTTGGTATGAATTGAATGATCTTCTATATTATATGTAAAAGACATTTACTATGATCTACTATTTATACATATTTTGTGAGGTCTTCTCATCATCAGAGACGTATTAAAAAGTTTTTTTGTCTTCTGAAGGATAATTTGAAATGGCGTATGTCTGTAGGAAAACTTCTTAAATGCGCTCATACTATTCTAAAGAGAGAAAATGTTTCCAAATTAATTCTATAGAGGGAAAATCATTCTCTAAAAAGGATTATTTTGAAAAGGTCATACAAAGAGAATTCGGTTCAAAAGTTCAACTTAAGACTATTTAAGTATCCCATAATGAAAGCAGACCATTCGCATGGTCCTCTCAAATATCAAACTTTTTTTAAAAGAAAAATGTTCTAAAGACTTAATAAGTTTCTAATGTCTTGTGGGAAGAATACTTTGCATATGGGTTCTATAAAAACTGGTTCTTCTAGTGAGAAAAGCTCATTTTAAAGGCCAAGTACAAAAAGACTTTGCAATGTCTTTTAAGAAGAAAAAATAGAAACATAGAAAAATAGTTAGAAATTGTTTCTCAAAATCTCTTTTTTAAGCTTTAGTCCTTTTCAAGACAATTGTCCTTTCAGAAGGTGTTTTCTAATCACTAGTCTTTAAAAAGGGTTTTTTTAAAGAGAAAATATATTTTCAGTCCTTGTAATTAAAGAAACATAGTCCTTGCAAAAGCTCTTCTCTAGATAAAAGTCCTCTTAGAAGGCACCAACCTTTTCAAAAGGTTTTCTTTGTACACAGGTCCTTTAAATGGGTCTACTCTAGGCACAAGGTGTTTACAAATATATTCCTTTTGAAAAGTCTTTAGAAAAAAGATATTTTCAAAAGTCGTTTTGAGGTAGGAAATTTATGGAATTTTATTTTTTAGACAGAAGTCTTTTCAGAAGTTTCTGCCGATATAAGAGCTTTAAAAGGTTTTTCTTGTCCGGAGACCCTTACAAAGTCTTCCATAGACAAATGTACATGCAAAATGTTTGCATAATACAAAAGTAATTTCAAAAGTTCATCTACAGAAAGAAATCATTTTAAAAACATACAAAGGTATTCTATAGACGACACACCTTTCTAAATTAGTCAGAAGTCCTTTCAAGAATATTTTCTAGGCGCTAGCCATTTCAAATATTTTCTCTTCACAGAAGTCCTTTCAGAAGATATTCTCTTATCTTAAACGCAGACAGGGTCTCTCTAGATACAAGTCCTTGAAATGTGTCCTCTATCAATTTCTTTTAAAAAGTCAACAGACCGAAATCTTACCAAAAGTTATCTTAATATAAAAGTCCTACTGAATGGTATTCCTTGTACAAAAATCAATTTAAGTAGTCTGTTCAACACAAAAGTCATTTAAAGGCAGAGTTCATTTAAAAGAGTTCTCACTAGTCCAGAGACCCTTAAAATATCTCTTACCGACCGGAGGATATACTGTGGTCTTCAATAGACATGATACAGAATATTTCCGAAAGTGGAGAGATCTTTCGAAAGGTTAGAATACTTGCAAAAATATCTTTTACAGTAGAGGTTTGAAAATATCGCATTCAAAAGCCATCCTATAGGCAAAAGACCTTTTAAAAGCTCTTCTTAAGATGGAAGTCTTCTAAAAGCTCTTAAATAGGCATAAAGCTCGTTTTTAGACCGAAGATCTTTCAAAGGATGCTCTAAAATAGACGATCATGTAAAAGCTCCTCTTCAGAGGACACATGAAAACCTTCCAAAACGTTTATGCATTTTTGAACCTCTTCTACGGACAGACCATCTTTCAAAAGCTTTTCTGTTGACAGAAAATCTTTCAGGAACAATTTTATACATTGGAGAGCTTTTGAAAGCTTATCTATCGCAGAATATCTTTTAGAGGGCTACTAACCACAAACGGGCCTTTATAGGGTCCTCCGTAGATAGGAGGCCCTTTCAAACACCTTTTTACAAAGATAATACCTTTTGAACGTCTTCTTTAGAAAACGGTCTTTTAAACCTTTATTTAAAAATACGATCAAAAAAGCAGTTAAGTTCGTCGGGCCCGAAATTTCGATACTCTCCGCCTGCCTTTAAAAGGCCTTTTTATAAAGAGAATATTTTTTGAAAGGTCTTCTTTAGAAAGGCTTCTTTTAAAACTTCCTTTAAAAAATGCCAACAAAAAACAGCAAAGTTTGTAATTCCCGAAATATTTATACCCTTGGCCATTATTGAATATTTTGTATTGTCTGAGCAAAACTATTTCCATTTAAAATTACGAATTTAGGAAATACATCCTCTTGTCAAGGACTTCGTAAAAAGCAAGTGAAGTCATTATATCATCATATAGGCATTATATGGGAAGATTATTAATTACAATTATTACGAACTTATTGCAAACAATTCCTTTGAAAAATTCTATTTAAATCATTAAAATACTGAATATATACCTATCACGGACTTAACGATTTTTAACAATTCAACCAAAAAAAAATGGCCAAAATTATCAAAATTCCGAATATAGTTATTTAGTGTCGGGGAAAGTAAGCCCTCTCTAAAAAATGTTAATACAGAGATATTAGAACCTAATAACAACTCTTATATCGAATGCATGATATAATGGAGGCTATAATCCCATTCAAAAGGTCTTATATAGAAACAAGAGCACCGATATATTAAACATTTTTCTTCCTTCCAAAGAAGTTATCTTTAAAAAAACATTTGTTCCAAAAAAGCATTTTAAAGAGCTCAAACACAACTTTTTATAGTTTTTATAAATTGAAATCATATATCATACAAAAACTGACTTCATTTGTCTTACCAATTTTAAGCAGAAAGAAAATCCGTCATAACACCATCTCCCTTTTGTTTTTATAATTACCGTTAAAATAACTAACTGCATACTAATGAACAGCAAAATCTTTTCGCCTAGAAATTTTTAATGATTTATCATAAAATGGATGCAGCAGTTGTGTAGTTCAATGTAAACGTGTAGTTGTTGTTCTTGGCACCCATATTCCATCTTAAAGCGCGTTGGTTCGTTTTAAACTCCCGCACATAACGGAGTTAAGGAGTCAGTTAAGAAACCGTAATATTCTGTCGTTGCAGTGCTTTCTTTTATGCTACTTCTTTTTCTTCTCCCGTTCCCTGATGTCGTTCATATGACCCCTTGCCAAACTACTGAAGCTGTTGTTGTTTTTGTTTCTTATGTCCTGCATCCTCTAGCGTTCACAATTTACAATATTTTCAATTAATTCAAATGTCAAACGGAGCGTAACGTGTTAATTGTAATTTTTATTGCACAGTTTTCCATAAAAAAAAAAAAAACAAACAAGAAAATCTGAATTAATTTCCATCCATCGCTGCAGATGGAT